TTTGATTCTCTCCATACATGGTCTTCCGAATAAAGCTGAAAACTTTCCTTTGACAATGTATAAGGCCAAACTTTCAGACTAGCATAAAACTGAACGTTCACATTGATATAATCCCTTAAAGGCAGAACTTTGCCTGTATGCATTCTTGGTGAAATGTTGAGGGTTGCTGTGCAATGTGACTCAGCTGCTTCTGATACATACTTTTAGGTGTTAATGTAACTGTCCACCAAGTTTGCCGTTCAGTAATGGAGTGACCTAGTAGTGGTTTGTGTCACCAGCAATAGCTAGTATACTTACTAACAGCTCCTCTTTGGATGTGAGTCTGGAACTTTCTCTTGCCTAAGTGGATTTTCTTTGAAATCTTTGGTTTCTGTACTTTTACTGTATCTTATTTATGTTTCTTCCTCAAATAAATAATCATCCTTAATATCATCTTAAAAGGAAAGGGTGCACTAAGATGATATGATACGACAAATAATAACATGATGAGATAAGGTCTGTTTACACACCTTCAGAATAAGATCGAAAGAATTTTCTGTAATGGTAATACCCCATCATAGCAGCCTCAACTCAAGTTCTGTCAGTATCTGTTCATGATGTACCTGAATATATGTATTATCTGTAGTTACAGTCTTCAATAGAGAGAGGAACTCCAAATATGATATCTAGTTGAAGCAGATCCAAACTGGGCAGGACTTGGGTGTCAGGGTTTAATTTGTGAATCTGTGGCCCCACTGTGGAGCTTCATATCCCAGGACGTGCTGTGAGCACATGAACCTGATACCAAGAGTGTTTTCTAATAAAAGCAAAGACCTCTGCACCTGAATTCCCAAATGTCTTTTCTGATGGGACAGTGAGGGGTGAAACTTCACACTGGAAGTATGAACTTGTAATATTATTCTTCGGAAGCTTCGTCAAAGTTTATTAGAACCTTTCTTGTTGACATCTCCACCTGATGAGTGACAGGAACTACCTCAGCTTCACATTCAAGACATTTTCCAATCAATCTGTTCAGAGATGTTAGTACATAGCTTGGCAGCAGGTGGGATTTGAACCTAGATCTCCTGGTTCACAGATAGAGAGACTATCACTGCTCTACACCAGCCCCAGCTTCACTTTCAAAAACGTATTTCTTCACAGGATGCAGGTTACAGTGCCTAGGCCCTACAGTGCCCTAATTGCCCTCGAGAAGGTGGTACTGAGTAGTCTTGGAGTCATAGAGTCATACAGTGCAGAAGCTGACCCTTTGGTCCAAATTATCCATGCCAACGCGGTTTCCCTAACTAAACCTTTGTCTGCATTTGGTCCAGATCCAAATGTCTTTTAAATGTTGTGGCTGTACCTGCATTTGCCACTTCCTCTGGCAGTTTATCCATATACGCACCATCCTCTGTGTGAAAAAGTTGCTTCTCCGGTCTCATTTAAATCTTTACCCGCTCACCTTAAAACTATGCCTTCCAGTTTTGAACTCCCCTACCCTAGGAAAAAGACCTTTGCAATTCACCTTATCCATGCCCCTCATGATTTTATAAAACTTTATAAGGCCACTCCTCAACCTCCTACATTCCAGGGAAAAAATGTCCCAGCCTATCCAACCTCTCTTTATGACTCAAATCCTCTAATCCCGGTAACATCCTTGTAAATCTTTTTGGCACCCTTTCCAATTTAATAATATCCTTCCCATAGCAGGGCAACCAGAACATAACAAATAACCCCAAAAGTAGCCTCACCAATGTGCTGTACAGCCACAACATGATGTCCCATCTCCTATACTCAAATGTCTGAGCAATGAAGTCAAGTGTGCCAAATGCCTCCTTCACCACCCTGTCTACCTGTGAAGCAACTTTCAAAGAACTATGTACCTGAAGCCTTGGGTCTCTCTGTTCGACAACATCTCGCAGGGCCCTATCATTAACTGTGTAAGTCCTGCCCTGGTTTGTTTTACCAAAATGCAACACACCACATTGGTCTAAATTAAACTCCAACTGCCACTCCCAGGCCTATTGACCCAGATAATCACTATCCCATTGTACTCTTAGATAAACTTTTTCACTGCCTCACTATGCCAACAATTTTGCTGTCACCTGCAAGATTTCTGTAATCTCATCCAAATTATTTATATAAATGACAAACAACAGTGGACCCAGCACTGATCGCTGTAGAACACTGCTGCTCACAGGCCCGAGTCCAATAAACAATCCTCTAGCATTTTTCCTACCATCAAGCCAATTTTGTATCCAATTGGCTAGCTCCCCCTGGATACCATATGATTTAACCTTTCTAATCTACTAATCTAACCGTACTGATCTACCATGCAGAACGTTCCCAAAGGCCTTGCTAAAATCCATGTAGACAATGTCTACCACTCTGCCCTCATCTATTTTCTTAGTTACATCCTCAAAAAACTCAATCAAGTTAGTGAGACACGATTTCCCATGCACAAAGCCAGGCTGACTATCCCTAATCAGTCCTTGCTTCTCCGAATGGATGTAAATCCTGTCTGTTAGACTCACAGGTCTATACTTCCCAAGCTTTTCCCTGCAGCCTTTCTTAAATAATGGCACCACATTAGCCACCCTCCAGTCTTCCGGCACTCATGTATGGCTGTAGATGATACAAATATCTCTGCAAAGGGGCCGCATGATTTCTTCCTTAGCTTCCCACATTCTCCTTACATTTGATCAGGTCCCAGGGCCTTAGAGTTATAGACTCATATGGCAGGAAATAGACCCTTTGGTCCAACTAATCCATGCTGATCGGACATCCTAAATTAATCTAGTCCAAATTGCCAGCATTTGGCCAGTAACCCTCTAAACCCTTCCTACTCCTATCCATTCAGATGCCTTTTAAATATTGGAACTGTAACAGCCTCCACCACTTCCAGACACGCACCACCTTCTGTGTGAAAAAGTCACCCGTTAGGTCCCTTTTAAATCTTTCCCCTCTTGCCTTAAACCTATGCCCTCTAGTTTTGGACTCCCCTACCCTGGGAAAAGACCTTGGCTATTCACCCTCTCCATGACCCTCATGATTTTATAAATCTCAATAAGTTCACTCCTCAGCCTCCAATGCTCCAGGGAAAATAACCCCAGCCTATTCAGCCTCTACCTACAGTTTAAAATTCCAACCCCATTGTTGTAAATCTTTGCAGAGCCCTTTCAAGTTTAACAACATCTTTCCTATGGCAAGGAGGCCAGAATTGAACACAGTATTCAAAAAGTGGCCTAACCGATGTCCTGCACAGCTGTAACATGATATGTCAACTCCTATACTCAATGCATTGACCGATAAAGACAAGCATAGCAAATGCCTGGTCTATACCGACCATGTTCCCAAACTAAACTAGTCCCACCTGCCTGCATTTGGTCCATATCCATCCAAACCTTTCCTATTTATGTACTTTTCCAAATGTCTTTTAAACATTGTAACTGTACCTGCATGCACCACTTCCTCTGGCAGCTCATTCCATACACTAACCACTTTCTGTCAAAACAAAGTTGCCTCTCATGCCCTTTTTAAAATCTTTCTCCTCACAACTTACAAATATGCCTCCTAGTTTTGAACTTCCTCGCTTTAGCGAAAAGACCTTTGCAATTCACCTCATCTATGTCCCTCATGATTATATAAACATCTATAATGTCACCCTCAACCTCCTATGCTCCAGTGAAAACAGTCCCAGCCTATCCAGCCTACTTTTATAATTCAAACCCTCCTTTCCTGGCAACATCCTGGTAAATCTTTTCTGAGCCCTCTCCAGTTCAATAATATCTTTCTGCATTTTAAGACCTCCAGCACTTCCTCTTCTGTAATGTGGACTGTTTTAAAAACATCACTATTTACTTGTCCTAGTTCCCTAGCTTCCATGTCTTTTTCCATAGTAAATACCAATGCAAAATATTCTTGAAATTCTGTAGGCCATATAGGGTAGGAGCACGCACAGTGTTGTTTGGGAAGGAATGAAAGAATTTGACTTATCCACAGTGAAAGAATGGCAATATATTTCCAAGTCTGGATGGTCAGTGGTTTGGAGGGAAACTTGCAAGTGGTGGTTTCCCATCTATCTGCTGATTGATAGAGGTGACAGATGTGATAGATGTTGTCAGAGAAAACTTGACAAGTTTCTGCAGTGCATCTTGTAGATAGTACACACTGCTGCCACTGTGCATTGGTGATAGAAGAACTGAATGCTTAATGTCCTAAGTGAGATACCAATTAACTGAGCTGCTTTGTCCTGAACGGTGTTGAGCTTCTTCAATGTTGCTGGAGCTGCACTCATCCAGGCCACTCAAAACTATTTCATCACACTCCTGACTTGTGTCTTGTAAATGGTGGATAGTCTTTGGGGAGTCAGGAGGTGAGTTACTCACCAGAGAACCCCCCCAGCCTATGACCTGTTCTTGTGGTATCTATATATGGTAATTCCAGTTCAGTTTCTGGTCAATGATAACCTCCAGGATGTTAATTGAAGGGGATTCAGCAATGGTAATGCCATTGAATGTCAAGAAAAGATGGCTGGATTCTATCTTGTTGGAGATACTTATTGCCTGACACTTGTGTGACACAAATGTCACTTGCCACTGTCAGCCTAAGTCTTAAATTTTTCCGGGTCTTGTTGCATTTGGACGTCATTTATTTCTAACACGAACTTGAAAAATTTCGAGTGATTGAAGGTTTGTGCTTCTATTCGTACAAATATCTGTGTGTAAAACTTTTTACTCCTCCAGTACTTTGCAGTCTTTTCTGTTTGCTAATCTGCTTGTAATCCTCTTGTATTCATTTGTTAAGATGCAATTAGTGCTGTCTATATTAAAGCTGACTGCAATGCTTTCCTGCAGAGTTGCAATCTGCACGAGAGTCTAGAATACTGGCAGTAAGAAGAAAAAAAGTCTTGAGATCCAGTACTGGATTTAATCCAATGAATTTCCTGTGCTCTGAAGGAAAAGCTGCAATATGGTGCTAAATAGATGTCTCTTTAGTTTTTATTGGCTGATGCCAGAGATGTCACTTCCTGAAGTGTCTGGAATAGGTTCAGCCCAGTAGCTAAGGTGTTCCAGCAGAGGGAGGTCTGTGAGCTGCTTTATTTTACCATCTGTTGATGCTTTTGTGCAGATTTAATTCGATTAACTGGTTGATGAGTGCCTCAAGGTCATCTGACGGTCCTGGATGTGGATTGTGTATTCTGGTTTAGCGGGCAGCATTTGAAGTGACAGATGGTGCTGGTTTTGCTTGGCTTTTGTTTTATCGAATGTAAAGCAAATGTGAAAGTCTAACAACAACATATGACATACAGATTTGCAAAAATACTGAGTAAGTTGAACCTCTTATGGCTATCAGCAGAATTAAATCTGTGGTTATAAACGTGGACACATTTGAGCTGTTATTTCTACTTAGAGATGTCCTGTATTTCTGCTTTCTCTTAGTTCTCTGCTCACAAGTTTGCTGAATTTAATATATCCTGGTGTTCAAATGGAGCAGTGGGAATATCAGAATCCTTCTGTTTGACCAGTTTTAATGAGTATGTTCCGTTTGTTACAGGAAGGATTGAGATGATATTCATGACTAGTTTCAAACATCACAGGTTCAATTAATATTGCCCAGATTTTTTAGGCCTAAATTGACCTGGGTTTCCATTTGGTTTTTACCTCTCGAAGCAGCAATTTTGTTTTTGTGCAGAATAAGAAGTCCATATAATGTGATGTTTTGATTGTGTGGGATAGGCTGGATGGACTGAAGGGTCTTTTCTGGTGGTTACAACATGCAAACAAGGAGCAGAAGCCGGCTGTTTGTGCCTGCTTGGTTGTTCAATAAACTTATGGATGATCTGTTTCTGATTGAATTCCACATTCCCAATTATCCCCCCCAAATCAGTGATAATCCTGCCCAACAAGAAATTGTTTTCTCCACCTTACCAATATTCATTGACCCTGCTTCCTCTGCTTTCTGTGGCAGAGTGTTTCAAAGTCCCAGAACATCTGAGAGAGAAAAATTCTACCCCATCCCTGTCCTAAAAGGGAGACTCCTATTTTTTTGAACCACGCTCCTTTGTCTTTCATGCTTGTCTACCATTGTCACCAGCTCCTGTTTCTCCCTTTCATTAGAACCAACATTTTATTGATCTACATAGAGAGGATATATACAATATAGCCACTCACTGACCAGCAGAATGCTTGTCCTGTGAGCAAATAAAACCTTAGATAACTGAACTCTAAACAGAGAACAGTTAATTGACTGTAGAATTTATTTGTCTTTTTTTGTCAGCGAAGAACCATATGTGTAATTCTTCTTGCATAATCAATACTTATCCCAAAATATATTGGCTTTCCTTTGCTATCTTTTAAGCTAATTTCAAGTAACTCAAGTTGGTAAGCATTTTGGTTGTCTAAGATGATATTAATATATGGTCAAAGATATTGGTTTCCTATTTTCTGTGACACTTCGTTCAAGGAACCTAATTTACTGCAGCAATGTACTGTTTTCCATTGCATATTAGAGCCTGGAGCTTGTGATAGTGCTGGGAGTTTCCCCTTTCTTTCATATGGCTGCCCAGGAATGTCTCCCATACTCACTGAGGGACACTGGTGTTTGTTCAAAGGATTTGTGGGGTGAATTCAAACCCTGAGCTTCTGGGCAATGCTCACTGCATGACAAGTTCCTTTTTTCTGTGATGCTGTCTAATTTAATTGTGCATGAAAGTTGATCACATTTACAGCACTCATTTTAAAAATAATCTTTGTTCTTGAATGTATTTAATTTCCCATAATTAAGAGTAAAGGATAGGACAGAAGTATTGTTTTTCATGCAGAATGTGGAATGTTTCACAGTGAATGGCTGTTGCATCAACAACTGCAAGTTAATTTACTAGAGTTGAATTCCATGTTTTCAAACATTTATCAAGAGAATATCAGGAAAAGGCAATGTATAGAAACACAAAAGCTAGATGGTCTCCAGGGTTATCAATTTCTCAGGTCTATGACCCAACTTTCCAGAATCTAGCTCTGGATTTAAGCCTTGAGAAACTGCTGAAACTGGGAATAGGGACTCAACCAGTTATCTAATACATGTCGCCTGCAGTGGGGAGACCCAGCTATAGCCACGTATTAATTTTGAATGATAGTCTTCAGTGGCATTATGTTGATGTTGTCAGTAAGTTTGCCATTATTTGGCTTGAAATTTAAATTAATGAACATATTCAGTTAAGGTTCACTCATTGTTTCTGACTTTTCTCACTTACAATGTGTCTTGCATCCTCATTGTCAGCTAGTAGCACTGTTGTTTCTGAGTCAACATCCTGACTACAAAAAAGCAAGGTTATGTGAGCAAGAGTGTTACAATGACAGAGATGCTGTCTCTTGATTGTGATGTGAAACTGAAGTTCCATTTGTCTGCTGTGGGTGACCTGGTGTCATTTTGAAGAAAAGCTGGGAAAGTATTCTCAGTCTCCTACGCAATATTTAACCCTGAAAGAACATCACAAAAAAAAATAAACTGGTCATTACTGCATTGCTGTTTGTGGGTGTTTGTTAGACACAAATTGGCTGCTGTGTTTGCTACATTGTATTTCCTATGATGCAGTAACTACCCTTCACGAGTGCCTCATTTATTGAAAAGCACTTTAAGGTGTTTGAAAAGTGCTATATAAATCCAAGTCTTACATTTTTCTCAGAAATTTTCTTTCTCTTAGGCTGTCTGCAGTCTTCTTGCAAATGAAATACAAAAAGCTTTGCAAGAGGAAGTTGAACTGTACAGTGAGTCCTTTTGATTTAGTCAATTCTGATTGTTCACAGAGAGTGACTGTGAATAGTCTTTCTCAGTTGCGTAAATCACATCTGTCATCAGTATTGTATTATATCATTCATACCTCATTATTTTATACTCAGCAATTTTTGATTTAACAAGATTCTGCTGTGAAATTATATATGCTGTGAAATTGTCAGAAGGCTGCAATCTCATTAAGCAGTTCTTTTTTTAATGGATTTAAGATAATTGGCACTTGAACTACTTCTGGCAGTTTAGAAATGCATTACATTTAGATGGAGGGTGTAGTTTAAAAAGGAAACTGCAGCAAAAACTTGGCATTCTGTGACACAGTTGACAGTAATCCTCACTGTTTACTAAGACACTGTTTTTAAAATTGAAGACTTTTTGCTGAGCATCCTTTCAAGGAGGTCTGCTTACTGACAATCCATTTATGGGATCTTTTGTTTTTGACTTGTGTCAGGCAATGTGGAGCCCCCTTCCTGGACCCTCCCCCTTCTCCCACCAGAGTGTGAAGCATCCTGCCTGTATTAACAAGAATAACAATTTATTACAAATATTTAGACACTAACTATAGGCAAGCAGTTTTAAATTACCAGCATATAACATTATTAATCAAAACGCTAATCTCCTTTTAAAGTCCCCCTTATGTGCACACACACATGTACACTCTTACATGTGCACACAAAATAGATTATGGGCAAAGGAAAGCCGAAGGCAGTTCATTGGTTCCCATTCATGGCTTGCTGAGATGACCCTTATCATTCTTGTGGTCAAAAATGTTGTTTTTCAATCGTCTTTCTCTCAATGCTTTTTACTTGTTTTCAAGAAGCAGCAGCACGAGCCAGAGTGCCGATGGGAAGGTAAGGTAACGTTGTTTTTATTTTTGCCTGTATAAAAACTTACCTCGTGCAGCAGCGGCCTTCTTGTTTTCAGCGGCGGGTGGAGAGAATACGAGCCAGGAAGGAACTAATATATTCGGTCATTGGCTAAACCCGAAAGACTACATGTGTACTGTCTCCCACCCATCCTCCTCCTCTAACCAAAGAAAGACTGTGTGGAGGGTCAGTAAGGTAAGGCTTTTTTTCGCTTCTGGAAATCTAGAGTAGAGGGAATGGAAGCTAGAGCAGTCGCATGCTCCTCTTGCAGGATGTGGGAGGTAAGGGTCACTGCTGGTGTCCCCTCTGACTTCACCTGCGAGAAGTGCACCCAACTCCAGCTCCTCAAAAACCGTGTTAGGGAACTGGAGCTGGAACTGGATGAACTCCGGATCATTCGGGAGGCTGAGGGGGTGATAGAGAGGAGTTACAGGGAGGTGGTCACACCCAAGGTACAGCAAAAAGGTAGCTGGGTGACTGTCAGGAAGGGGAAAGGGAACAGGCAGACAGTGCAGGGATCCCCTGTGGCCGTTTCCCTCAACAATAAGTATACCATTTTGGATACTGTTGTGGGGTTGACCTACCAGGGGAAGGCCATAGCAGACAGGTCTCTGGCCTTGTGGCACAGAAGGGAAGGGGGAGAATAGGAGAGCAATTGTAGTGGGGGGCTTCAATAGTAAGAGGTACAGACAGGCGGTTCTGTGGACGCGAACGAGATGAACGGATGGTATGTTGCCTTCCGGGTGCCAGGGTCTGTGATGTCTCGGATCGTGCCTTCAAGATCCTTAAGGGGGAGGGTGAGCAAGCAGCAGTCATGGTACACATCGGTACCAATAACGTAGGTAGAAAAAGGACTGAGAATGTGAAAAACAAGTACAGAGAGTTAGGTTGGAAGCTGAAGTCCAGGACAAACAGGGTAGTTATCTCTGGATTACTACCAGTGCCATGTGATAATGAGGTAAGAAATAGGGAGAGAGTGCAGCTAAACACGTGGCTACAAGGCTGGTGTAGGAGGGAGGGCTTCCATTATGTGAATAATTGGAGCACATTCTGGGGAAGGTGGGACCTATACAGTAAGGATGGTTACACCTGAACCGGAAGGGCACAAATATCCTGGGACGGAGGTTTGCTCGAGCTATATGGGATGGTTTAAACTAGATTGGCAGGGGGTGGGGAACCGGATTTGTAATTCAGAGGATGAGGTATTCAGCCTTCCAACAGACAACAGGGAGTGAGGTTGTTTATAAAGAAATGCGGTCGATGGAGCGTAATTGTGGACACAGGGATGGTTTGAAGTGTGTATACTTCAATGCTAGAAGTATCAGAAATAAGGCGGATGAACTTAGAACATGGGTCAGTACTTGGAGCAACGATGTTGTGGCCATTACAGAAACTTGGGTAAGTCAGGGACAGGAATGGTTGTTGGAAGTTCCGGGATTTAGATGCTTTAAAAGAAATAGGGAGGGTGGAAAAAGAGGCGGGGGAGTGGCATTGCTAGACAGGGCAAGTATAGCAGCTTCTGAAAGGCAGTTCGAGAATGATATGTCTACCGAGTCGGTTCGGGTTGAGGTCAGGAACAAGAAAGGAGCAGTCACTTTGGGGATGTTTTACAGACCCCCTATTAGTTGGAGAGAAGTGGAGGAGCGGATTGGAAAGCAGATATTGGATAGGTGC